AGATATTAGACATTTTAGTGCACATTAAGAAAAGCATGAAGCACATGTGAGGGTTTAAAAAATAACGTGTATACCTGACTTACTGTCGCCAATCCAAAATGAGATGATGAAATTGGAAATACCATCTGTTCATATATATATATATATATATATATATATATATGGATAGATGGATAGATGGAGAGAGAGAGAGAGAGAGAGAGAGTAGATAAACAACCATTGGACGTCACCAGACACAAATCTCTCCTAAAAACAAAAACAACATGACCAGCACATGATGCACTTTGACCTGCGTCCATTTGTAGGAATATAGAGTTATTATGATGTCCAGCTCTTGGGCAATACAGATAGCCTAGTGGGGTTAATAGTGAAACCAATGGGGTGGCTGTGGCTGAGTTGTTGGAGTAGTCGTCCTCCAATGCGAGAGTTGGGTGTTCAAGTCCACCAGCAGCCATGTGCTGAAGTGTCTCTGGGCAAGACATTGAACCCCTCATTTTCCCCCAATGTCTGTTCCATCGGTGTATGACTGTGATAATAAGCACTGATTATTATTTGTATAGTAGAGTGCTGTATGAATGGGTAAATGAGAACACAGATTGTAGTGTAAAGAGCTTAGAGTATCTTGATAAATGGAAAGTCGCTAAATAAGTGCAGTCCATTTCCCCTTCTGAAAAGCACACGCATACAACAAGCCAGATGGCTTTTTAGGAAATATCTGAATACAAGAAAAGCAGCAAACAGATAATAATTTGAGGCATACTTCTCATGCTGCTGTTGATTTGCTGATTATCAGCATTTATCAACTTTAAAATTGGTTTTTATTCCATGAAAGGTGATGAAATTAGATTAGTTTTGAAATTTAAACTCTGATTATTATTTTTATTTTTTGTAGTGTTAAATTCATACATTATTTCATCAATGCACTCATGAAAAATATATTATTTATTTTGGGAAATACACTAATGTGGAAAAATGTATCAATGCCCATAACAAGTACCTAGTGTACCATAATATATCTCTAGACTTGGTTGTCTTTTGTGCCTTCCTACAAATAACCCCCACTAATAAACTGAGATTAGGACAAGTAGACAAGTAATGTGATCTGCACTCTGCTTCACTGGACTTGAACACTATTTCATTTGTTGAGCCTATACGCCAAATCAAGTCGTCTTTATTAAAGTCGCTTTGATGGATTCACCTCTGGCCTCCGCCCCCCTGCTGTGATCTATCACCTGTCAAGCAGTGGAGGTTGTAATAAACCTGTTTAGAACTGGTGTCATTGCATGCAAGTAAAGTGACTATATACAGTGGTGCTTGAAAGTTTGTGAAGCCTTTATAATTTTCCATATTTCTGCATAAATATGACCTAAAACATCATCAGATTTTCACACAAGTCCTAAACGTAGATAAAGAGAACCCATTTAAAGAAATGAGACAAAAATATTATACTTTGTCATTTATTTATTGATGAAAATGATCCAATATTACATATTTGTGAGATGCCAAAATATGTGAACCTCTAGGATTAACAGTTAATTTGCAGGTGACATTAGAGTCAGGTATTTTCATTCAATGTGATGATGATCAAGTGTGAGTGGACACCCTGTTTGATTTAAAGAACAGGGATCTATCAAAGTCCGTTCTTCACAACATGTTTGTGGAATTGTATCATGACACGAACAAAGGAGATTTCTGAGGACCTCAGAAAAAGAGTTGTTGATGCTCATCAGGCTGGAAAAGGTTACAAAACCATCTCTGAAGAGTCTGGACTCCACCAATCCACAGTCAGACAGATAGTGTACAACAGAGGAAATTCAAGACCATTGGTACCCCCCCAAGGAGTAATGGACCAACAAAGACTTCAAGAGCAGGGTAGACAGTGTAACAGTCAGCGAGGTCACAAAGGACCCCAGAGTAACTTCTAAGTAACTGAAGGTCTCTCTCATATTGGCTGATGTTAATGTTCATGAGTCCACCATCAGGAGAACACTGAACAACAACGGTGTGCATGGCATAGTTGATGGAGGAAGTCACTGCTCTCCAAAAAGAACATGGCTGCAGTTTGCTAAGGATCATGTGAACAAGCCAGAAGACTGTTGGAATAATGTTTTGTGGGCAGATGAGACCAACATAAAACTTTTTTTTTGGTTTAAATGAAATGTGTTATGTTTGGAGAAAGGAAAACAGCATTCCTGCATAAGAACCTTACCCCATATGTAAATCATGGTGGTGGTAGTATCATAGTTTGGGCTTGTTTTTCTGCACCTGGGCCAGGACGGCTTGCCATCATCAATGGAACAATGAATTCTGAATTATTATTAATTCTAAAGGAAATTGTCTGGACATCTGTCCATGAACTGAATCTCAAGAGAAAGTGGGTCATGCAGCAACACAATGACTCTAAGCACACAAGTCGTTCTACCAAAGAATGGTGTAAAATTCATGTTTTCAAATGGTCAAATCAAAGTCCTGACTTGAATCCAACCCAAATGTTGTGGAAAGACCTGAAGCAAACAGTTAATGTGAGGAAACCCACCAACATCCCAGAGTTGAAGCTGTTCTATCTGGAGGAATGGACTAAAATGCCTCCAAGCTGGTGCAAAGGACTGATCAGCAGTTACCAGAAACATTTGGTTGCACTTACTGCTGCACGGGAGGGGGGGTGTAACACCATATACTGAAAGCAAAGTTTCACATATTTTTACCAATCACAAAAATGTATTATTGGATCATTTTCCTCAATACATAAACAAACAAGTATAATATTGTAGTCTCATTTATTTAACTGGGTTCTCTTTATCTACTTTTAGGACTTTTGTGAAAATCTGATAATGGTTTAGATCATATTTATGCAGGAATATAGAAAATCATAAAGAGTTCACACATGTTCAAGCACCACTGTAGCTAGTGTTCTGTTTGCTTTGTCTTTACAAACTCTTTTTTTTTTTTTTGCCAACAAAGTCAGTCAGCACTCAGCATCAGTATACATTTAGCAGGAAATTCCATTACATTTGGTATTTTTATTTATTTATTTTTTTATGATATTTTCAAAATGAAATGTGTTTATTTTAAGAACTCTGATAAAGACTGCTTCAACCAGTAGATGTATAACCAGAAAGAATTGACTCACAACACATGGAATGTCTTATCTCTGCAGTTGTATTTAAATTTCATCAGCAGAGATAAATCACACAGAGATTATGTGTTGCAGTCTTCCCTTCAGCAAATGGAAAGCAGGGCTGAGCTGACACTGTAGACGTGGCTGACCGACTCACTCGTGAGTCATCCTCCACTTAGCAGCGGCTGCTGTCGCTCCTGCACACACCAGCAGACACAGGTTACTGTGAGCAGAGGTGCAAACTGTCCTCCTTCTAATGGGCACCACGGGGATCCATGTTATTGGATGATTCATCAGATCAATGCCGCAAAGCAGTATTCACTAGACTTTCTGACAAAAGCATGTGTGGCTTGCTGATGGAGTTAACACAAAGAAAAAAAAAACACTTGGGCACTGTGTGTCATGCGCACCGATAGCCATGAGTTAATAGTTTTAACAAAATCAAAATTGAACGTACATACTGGTATTCACGTCCAGATGAAATGCCATTCTTTTTTTTTTTTTACTACAAAGTAAGTCAAAAGGGATTTTACCTTTCATATATGGATTTTTGAGAAGTTTGAATGAAAACAAAAGTAGTTTTATTATTATTAATACAAAGTATTTAAAATCCCTTTGCAGCAATGTGGTGTAATTTTAAGAAAAATGCAAAGCCATTACAGTAAAGTGCAATTTAAACAAATAGTTTAAGATGTTTTGAAGCGGGTTCCTGTGGAAAGACCCTGAACAATTAATATGTTACCTGCAGTAGATGACTGTTTGAAAGAGCTCAGTTAGGAGAAACAGGATAATTCTGACCAGATTGACTAACAGATTGTCAGAGTGGGATTATGTCCAAAGTACTTGCTGTTATTCAAAAACAACTCTGTTCTGTTTTCTAGAGTTTTACATTTGTTTGTGTGTGCATGTCTTTGTCTGAAGCATAAGCACATTATCTCATGGAACACTTGATTCAAATTCAATTTTCATAATGGTATTTTCAAATGTACATTTACAAAGTTTTTATTTTTACGCTCAACCTAATTCAAAATGGCTGCCACTTTATTATTATTATTATTATTAATATTATTATTATTATTATTATTGTTATTATTATTATTATTATTATTTCATATATATTACAGTATACACATATTATACTATTATTATACTTGTTGTTATTATCCCCAACCATGGTCATTCAAAAAACAGCAGCCAATATGTGCACATTTTAATAATTATTAAACACTCATGCTGATAAAGATGTCAAGGAGAAGTTTAAAGAAAACTTGTTTTTTTTCCTTTTACTCATTTGGAAAGATTTCTCAAAATCACATCATTCATGACTGACAAAAATAAATGTAGATACGTTGCCTAAAACAACTGATGACTAATAGCAAACATTCAGAAAAAAAAAAGAAAAATGTTAAAAATACATTTTACTTGCTTCCTTATCTTTATCTTGGACTTAATAAATATTGGCTCCCAGCCCCTTTTTTAGTCAAAGGGAAGTACAAAATGTCTCCTTTTTATTGTTCAAAAAATGTTATTATATATGTCTATCTTCTTCCTCTAAAAACACAACAGTCTTTATTATTTAGCCTGAAAATACATTTGGTTTGTGGATTTTCTCAATTTGGACCAGTCGTTTAGCGAGATATCTAATAACAAAGTGTGTTTTTGTTAAAGCCTTTCTTTTTTTTTCTTTTTTGGAATGTATAAACAATAAAAAACATACAAAATAAGACTAAATGACAACTACTGTATGCTTTCCAAAATGACACACAGTCAAACTAAATAATTTCACAATGTAAACATGTCAAAACAATGTGCTTTACTCAAAACTAAACTTTTTTTTTTTTTTTTTTTTTTTTTATCAAGTCACCTCAGATTCCTTGACCAACAGCATTAGCTCATAAACTTTTTAAATGCTTAAAACAGAAAATTAGATGTTTGAAGCTCTAGTACAAAAATGTTTATGTGCTATAACTTTTATTTATCACCACAAATCCAATATGGTGGCAATCTTTGAAGTGCTTATTGAAGAAACGTCATCCACAATGTTTTGCAGACTAGTCCATGGAGTTGTTTATAATAAAATGAACAAATAAACTCTACAGATGTAGATTTTATTGGTCTCAGTATCAGTCTGTAATGTCTTTCCATTTGTAGGCTGTCATCAAGAAATAAGCCGTGAATTCAGAAGTGAGTGGGGCGCACCATCATAGTTGTCATGGTGGCCATCAGATTTGGACCTTTCCAATAGTACCACTTAATGCCATTGTAGCGGATAATACTCGACGAAGCAGGGTAATATATGCCATTCAGGTTGGATGGACCACACGCATCAAACCACCATCCTGGAAAAACACAAAATAAAATTTAAAAAAGTCATCCAAATGTTAGATAAGTCACCAGTAAGTTTTTAGTGGCACACATAGAAGAGTCTTGCAGGATATCAAGGGTCGTGCTCAATAATCCAGGTAGAAAAAGCCCACAAATTTAAGTCAGGTTCTTTGGAATGTTTCATCTTTCATCTAAACCACTTTATCAGTCAGAGAAACCTCAACAAACTCAGTCTTATAAATAGCACTTTCATATGGTGGGTCAACCAGTTTAATAGCAATAAGATGGTTTCTGTAGTCCGCCCTCTCCCCGGCGACTTGTTTGAGGCAGTCATGGCCAAAGTGGTTCAGAAAGTCCTGATTCATGCTTCAGTCCTGAATATGGTAGTACAGTTTGATCAACACTGTGTTACCTCCTGATGCGAGCTGCGCACACTTGCAGGTGCAGCGGTCGTTGTCTCTGTCTTTAGTACTGAACTGGCTTCCGGTGTGGGTGAGGCTGCTGGTTTTGCCGGCGGTGCCACTGAATCCCTCAATGTGGAGACTAGATAGTAAAAAGAGTAGAACAAACAAAACAAAATGACAGATGTTTATCTTTTAGCTGTTTTGGTATTATTGTTGAAAAAAACTATTTTAAATTCAATATTTAAATTTTGATAGCGCTAATTGTTTGCTTAAAGGTAATATCATTTTCATAGGTCAATCAAAAAAGGGAGCAATCGTGTCTGTGTGTATATGTATATACATATATATATATATATATATATATATATGTATATACATATATATATATATATATATATATATGTATATACATATATAAAACCGGGGACCTGCTCGCTGAGAGGCAACAGCTCTATCAGTTGTGCCACCGTGCTGCCCGTATTAAAATTTGTTGAGGTTAATCATTGGTCATGAATTTACAACTTATTAGCTACATTTTTGTATAACCTTGTTTAAAAAACACAATTTTCTTCACAGATGCAAGTTTGGTTTCTTTTACACAATACAGGCACAACAGGGTTTCTGTTTGCAGCTCCATCTAGCTGACGCACTTCCTTCATTGTCATGGTCACCACACCTTTTCTTGTCCAGGGGGTATGACTTAGTTCTGTTCAACTGTTGATATCGACTTTTTTGGAGACTAAAAGGTCTGTCTTTTTTTGATTAGCACAGGGGCATAATTACCATACAGTCTCTATAGTCCCTTTCCCACCACTGCTCTTCAGCTCGGTTCGATACGTTTTTGAACGCTTTTCCACTGTCATTTTTTTGCAGAACCGGACCCTTTTTTGATTCCTGTTTCACTTGTGGGACCAAGCAAGCCGAGCCGGCACCAAAATGTGACGTCAGAACACTGCCGGTCACTGATGGGCTGTGGGGGGTGGGGGATCTTGGATCTTTCAGAACATTTTCAAAACACAGATCTGTGATTTGCATTTACTTGAAACTCGGAGAAGGGGCTGGAACTATTTTTAAGATTTATAAAACAATAATGACAACACTGTGGTCTAATGCTGAAGTGCAGGCGTTTTTTGTGCTTGGTGGCTGACATCAAAATTCTGATTGAGTTACATGGAGCTCTGACGGTCTCCCCGGTCCTCCATCAGAGCTTCGGAGCCTGCTCAGGCCGTACAGGGCATCGTCTCCCTGGCTCTTCCACGGGTAACTGTGGAAGATCCTATGTGCTGCCGGCTGAGGCTCTGGATTCTGGCCTTGTGGGCTCTGCAGACTCAGAGCTCCGCTGGTCACCATGGAGGATCATACAAGCTGCTGACTCGCAGAAGGCTGTTGCCCGGACACTGGCCTCGCCTTCTCATAAAGGCCGATCCTCGATCCCGGCTTACAGGTGGACCGGGACAGAGAATGGAAATGATTTTTAAAACATTTTATGTATAATATATATATATA